AAAAAAGCTCCCACATGACAACGGTGTGCAGTAATTCTGAAGAGTCCGCCTCACCGTGGATGCAGCTCTCCGCCTTGTTCTTTGGGGTCTTATTTGTTTTCTTCGGAAGGTCCACTGGGAGCCCTAGAAAGAGGTTCTCAAGAAATTTCTGACCTCTGTTCCCATCTTACGTTTATTTTTGAAAATTTCCAAATACCATCTAGTTACTTTAGAATATATTGGGAAAATCAAGAAAGGTCAGTTTTTTCATATGAAAAAGAAGGTGTTCTTTCAACCAAGAGCTTATTTTATGCAATATCCAATATCAGGGTGGCACAGACTCCATGGGTCATGAAATGCGTAACCTGTGTATCCCAGAAATGGAAAATTTCCATAAATTGCATGATTTACCAAAGGAATAATGTCAAATCTGAGTTCCTGCAAAACCAATGATCATCCAAGCAGTTTTTAATGCCTTCTCTTTGGAGAAAGACAGATACACGAAAAGTTTAGTAATTACCAAATGTCAAAATAATGTTGAACAGGATAAAGATTTGCCTAAATTAAGGTTCTCTTGAGGATCGGTTACATATCACAAGAACAACTGACGAATCAAACATGAGAGGTAGAATTTATTTTTTCCTCTCCTGATAAATTATATGAGGAATGAGTAATTCCTGCTGTGATTATAAGAACATCGAGGTCATGTCTGCTTAAAGATCTGCGGGATAATAATAATATCCTAAACTTCTGCAGTGCTTGGCATTCTCAAAGCACTTTGTAAACATTAATTAGGTCTTCAATAAGCTAAGAGACTGTCTTATTGTTGGTTTTTCCTGTTACAGCATCACTGAGAGATTGCAGTCTTTCTAGAGTTTAAATATTTATTTATTTATTTATTGCTTTTAATGTGTATTTACTCCATTGACAATGCTTTAAAATTATAATCAGCAGAAGAGAAAGGTTCATGGCTCTACTTTTGCAACCAAGAAACAAGCCAGAATAACAACAGTACTTCTCCTTGTCCGAATGAACACAGCCTAGTGGGGACACTGTTTTGGCTTGGGAAACTGTTTTCCTGCCTACCTTCATCCACTTCAAACATGCCCTTTCCACCCATTAAAACGGCATGTCTTTTTCTCATCCTGTAGCCACACAGTGCCTAGCAGGGTGCTTTGCATGTGATGAGTTTTCAATAAATGCCTGCTAGATTGAATTAAACTAAAGCTTAGCCCCTATATGTGGCAGCCATGCAGAATCCTACCGCCACTGTCCATGACCACTCTCATTACATTTGGGAAACTCTTGAGTTATTTGCTGATATCACCTCTGTTTTTCTTTTGTCTGTTTATTGGTGGACTGAGGATAAAAGATGGTAAAGGAAATGAATGTAAACGTGACATTCTTCCAAGTTTCAAAAGCAAATACAAGAACATCCTTTTTATTATCAACACTTAGTAAATTCCTAGTGGGCATCGTGGGCTGTTGGAGTTGCTGGGAACACAAAGATAAACAGGGCTACAGGGATGGAATGATTTTTGATTTTGGATATTGAACTGACTCCATTTAAATTGCTACACTTTTATGTGTTTATATTTTTAATTGTAATAAATGAGAATTCTTTGTGTGTGTGTGTGTGCTATTTCAATAGAGCTTAGAGATGACTATTTTAATGGAACCTAGTGGTTACACAGCAAGGGTGTATCACTCTTCTATTTACCCGGTTCCTCTGCTTCTCTGCAAATAAATTCTAGGATTGCTTGCTGAGAGAAAAGAGGAAGACAATGGAAAGGAAGGGAGAGATTTTTTTTTCCCTTTAGTTATAATCATGTCTAACTTTTGGCAACGTTAGTGTCAATCAAAATTGAAACCCCTGTGAACTTCAGCTCCTGTGAGTTTTCTCTCATGGCTGTTTGAATGTTGCAAATTCAAGACTGACTTGATGGTTGCTCTGAAATGATGCCACAGTAGACTCATGCACTGCACCTCAGTTCTGTGGTTCAGGGCTCTGGATCCCTAGAAATTATGTTGCACTTCCTCAAAAATGAATGTGACTCTATGCATAAGAACAGGGTGCATTCTCTCTCTTGGGATTCCTGTAGTTGTAAGATCTAAGCAGGCAATAATAGCAAATAAGCTTAGAGGGTCAGAAACCATTTGCTGAAATATCTGAAAGTTACAAATTGAACTAGAAAGTATTGAATAAAATATCTTCTATCCTCCTACATCATTAGATATATTTTCATAAAACAAAATTAAAAAATATGATTGGATGAGTAGTAAAGAAAAAATACACAGACATATAAAGTATAAATAGTTCACATAATATAAATATAAATATTCCAAATTTTTATTTTCTTGGCTTCATTTCAGCAAATTCACTAAATATGTTTTTATAATGGAAAGTCTCACAAAATTTGAGATCTGCTGATAGTATTTAACCTAAAACATCAATTAAAACTAAAATGCAATTATAATCAAAGTGCACACAATTTGAGTATTTTCATTAAAATATGAACATTAAATAAATGTAAAAATGTCAATAAATCATTTTAATATTTTTATAATTAGATATTCAAAAATATCTATTAAAATTAAAAGCAAATGCAAATTATAATTATTATTAGACTTTTAAATAAAATTTAAACAAAGCTGAAAATGTTGATTTAATTTTTTGATATTTCATAAATCTTATTATACATTAAAAAATTAAACTACTCATGATTCCAATATTTAATGTTCATATTTTAACTGTCAGTCTAAAGAATCAGCATCATTTTTTTATACATGTTGCATTTAAAGCTTCATATATACATACTTCATGTAATGCAGATTGTTTAATATTGCAAAATATTCTTCAGCCACCAAATGCAACTTCCTTGTTAGTAATTCTGGAACCATAAATTGGAACCCGGAAAAAAGCAAAAAAATGATCATTCAGCTCCTCGAAGAGACACAATTCATTGTGAAAGAATGTACTGAGCTTATATTATCTGAGAGGATCTGACACATTCATTACTTTACCTTTTCCCTTTCCTAAATATTTGTGTCACTCAACTCCTCCTTGCATTTCTAAGTAGAGTTTTTCTCCAAGAGCAGGAATTTTAACCCATCAAAATGAATCAAGGGAAATTTAGGAGAGTCTAGTTGTAGTTCTAATGGCTGCAGACATGCTTAATAAACCATTCCTTCAAAACGTGAAATAGCGCGAGGATCTGCAAAGACTGTGATTTATTCTCTGGCCTGAAGGTAACATAGCACCGTTTAGGGATGTAGAAAATAGGCCAGATCGTCAAGGATTGTTCTTCTACCGCAAGTGATGCAATCCTTTGTTCTCACCTAAGGCCCTTCTGGTGTCAGGAACTTTCTAAGCCTCGGTTTCCCCATCAGTAAAAAGGATAATCATTTCTTGTTCATAGCACCATTGTGCAAATTAAATTACAGAGCCTGGCACATAGTAGATTCTCAAAAAATAGTAGCTTTTCGTATTAACTGGCAAAGAATTATGAAAAACTCGCTGTACTGCATTATTCATCAATCTAATAAACATGGACTGGTCCCCCTATATGCTGGGTGGCTGGGCAGAGACTTGGGATTTGAAGGCTGCAGTTTTTCACTAGACACACAACACTTTTGGGGGGGATACTGATGTGCACAATGGCGATGTGGAAGTGCCATGCCAGCACAACCAGCGGAAGGGCAACCCTGTGGGAGTGGGGAAAGGCTTCTTAAAGCAGACGTTACACAAGCCAGCAGATGAGCAGGAGCTTCCCAGTGCAGAACGGGAAGGAACTGGGGGCAGAGGATTGCAAAGACTTGGGAGTTATGAAAGCATTTCCACATTCAAGAAAGGTAAGATGTTGGAAAGGGGCAGAGCCACTATGCCAGACCCCTTAGAAGACTGAATCCAACTGACAAGCCCCGACTGATTTGTTTGTAACTAGACCTGAGATGTCGTGTTAATCTTTGCACAGTGTGGCTCTACTTGGACTCAAGGAAAATTCCAGTTCTCTGAGATATGCCACTTCTGACGAATAGGCTTACAAAAGGCTTGATTAAAGCCCCTCAGTACAGTAGTACTTGTTTGTCACTATACTCCACTTCTCTTTTAAAATGTACCAAAACCGGGGGCAAAATGAAAACTGTTATTTTGGACCTCAGATGCGTGATTTCCAGCTCTTCGCTCCCCTATAATTTCTGTGATGGGCTGCCCTGTTTACTAGGAGCACCCGGGGACATAGTCTAAAAACGGCTGTAACCAGAAAATGCAGACTTCTTAATTAATAACAAAACAGTGCTCAATTCCAGAGGTGGAGAGGGAAGGCGACACAAAATTTCTCTGCAGAAAATAACATCTTCAGATCTTGTCAAGTGATGTGCAAACCAGCCAACGTATTTAATTTGAAACTTGTGACAGTAGCACCATGGCTAAAGCATCTGAAAGGATCAGACGGAGAAGAAGGAAAAAACCTAGTAGCAGCCGCAGGCAAATACCCTGGGATGGGCAGAACCAACAAGGTGGACCACCGCACTGCTATGGACACCCTCAGTGTCTGCAGCAGCTCTCCCAAGGAAAGTAAGATCTCTGCTGCTCCTCTGAGAGAAACTCTGCAAGCACAATGCTTACTTGCAACATAGTCTCACTGATGAGAAGTGAAGGAGGGTGTCCAGAGCTGTGCAGGTGGGAATCAATCCTTAGTCTCCAATAGGGGATAAGCCATTGAATGTCACAGAGATTACATCCATTCAGGAATGAGCCCACTGTACTGTACCAAACACCACTGGCACCTCTTATAAACTATAGATTCAGCTACTACATAGTTTCAATGGTGACTCAATTTCATGGGAAGATTTTTTTTTCATTTACATTCAGTTTTCTTCTCGAATTATAATCTCTCATTATCATCTTCCAACATCTCAGAACTACTGAGCTAGATTCTACAAACAGCTTGCATTAGAAAACAGCTCTTTCGTAGAATTTTTTTTTAATAAAAGAAAAGCATTTGTTTTAGTCCACTTACCATTCCATGATTCAGCCACCCTGGGATAAAATTATCAAGCAACTTCGGGTAAATCATCTCTCTGTCATAGGCATAAATGATCCAGAACACCGCTACCACGAACTAGAAGGGAAAAGAAATCCTTTATTTCAAATGCACCAACTGTCCACAACATACAATTTGTTGTGAAAGAACCCAACAAAATTGTAATCTGAAATGAAAGACCAATCAATAAGCCAGCTAATAACTGGAAAGATCGCTTTAACTCCATCCCATTAGTGGTAACTGTTGGGGTCCCTCCCCTTTCCTTGATCTTCCACTGTGTTCTCTCAGGCAAAGGGATCTGTGGGTGAGGGAGAGAGAGATGGTCTGTCTGTCATCTGGAACAGCTCCCTTCCACGGCTAATTGTATTGGTTTGATTCCTCTCAAGAGGGTTTAAAAGTTCATTGGTGGTTTTTTGGATCCGAGTCCCCACTGTACAGAGTTAGCACACATTCAAGAAGCTGTAGTGTATTTTCCTTGAACCCATCATGTGGTTTAAATTAATCTTCACATTCTCAAGTTTCGATTTCACTACTAACAGCATTGAAATCACTGCTATAAAATGTCCTAAAGTCACATTTCCAACAAATGTATTAATTTATATAGCCTAAGCAGGGGCTTTGGTTGCACTGAGAAGCAGAGTGCAGGGTAAAGGAAGATTTCCTAATTCTCTTGGAAAAAAATATAAAATCTGGTTTCCAGAGGTTTATTTGGACCCATTGGCAACATCATCTTCAAAATCAAGTAGAGTACTCAATTTATTGTCTTATCTTTCCTCAAACCAATGGTGAGAGAGGAAGCCCAGGTAAAATAAAGAAATGAATGGCCAAAGGTCTTAACCTTCACCATAGTATCCTTTTAAAAGTGAATGCTCTTGTAAATAGTCTATAAATGTAGCTTAGAAAAGGGAACGAGAAGGGGAGGGCACAGCTCAGTGGTAGAGTGCTTGCTTAGCATGCAGGAGGTCCTGGGTTCAATCCCCAGTGCCTCCATCAAAACAAATAAATAACATGGACAGAGAATACAGACTTGTGGTTACCAGAGGGGTAGAGGGTGGGAAGGGATAGACTGGGATTTCAAAATTGTACAATAGATAAACAAGATTACACTGTATAGCACAGGGAAATATACACAAAATGTTATGATAAATCACAGAGAAAAAAATGTGACAATGAGTGTGTATATGTCCATGAATGACTGAAAAATTGTGCTGAACACTGGAATTTGACACAACATTGTAAAATGATTATAAATCAATAAAAAATG